ACTGCATGGGGACACACTGCAGTGTAGATGCTAATATGGATAGTTACACACGATATTTAGATTTGCGAGATCTGACTGATAGTGCGTCCAATTGATGGTACTGTTGTTGAATTGGCACGTGTGGCAGTGATGCTTGTGGGAAACGCATTTGACAGAGTGGTAGGAAAACTACTCTGCCCTTAAACTCACCCACTGTCCTTTTTCAATAGCCAAACCACCTTTTTCTGAAGTATTTGTCAAGTTCTATGAGCCCTTGTCATTTAGCAACCGTGTGTGTGTTGTGTTCATAATTGCGTCTTTGTAGATTTTTATTCAGCTTCAAAGTGTGTTTGCATTTGTAACACTGTGCCTGTATCAGTGAAAAAGAAGCCCTGATGCCAATGGTGCTACGAAAACTAGAATCACATTGATAATGTGAATGTGAATGTAATTGAAAGAATCCACACAAGCTCATGCTTCATTGCCTTATAATTATAATATTGAACAAAAAAAGCCTGCCACCTTTTATTTGAACAGTCGACTGTATTTTCAACATATCTGATAGATTTTTGCTGGCTATTGCTTTTGTGATTGTCTTAAGATTGTAGTCCGTGTCACCTTTTATACCTTTTCTCAATGCATCGCATATGTTCAGTGTATACCTTGTACACTATAAACAGTTACGTGCCAATTTGGGGGGGGTGAGGCGGAACAGTGACACAGCGGTTAGCACAGCGTGCTATGACCGGGTTGCACGACTGCTCGCAATTCAGTGAGTGGCAAGTTGTGGAACTGATGGCTCCGATGTGGGTATCCAGTTTTTAGACCCTGGCTTTGAATCTGGGCTGCCATTTGCACAAAACGACCCCATAGGTTTACAGGTTGTTTAATTGTGTCAGTCCCAATCAGCAAGGAACTCCAATTTAATCTGGAATATCTCTAAATTTGAGCTGGTTTAGCTTGAGGGCTTACGTGGCTGACAGACACAAGGAATAGCTTTCATCATAAAAGCTATAGAGCTGTGTTTAAAGGTTATATTAAGACAACCAACTAATGATGTCAGTTAAAAGTATATTATATATGCATGTATAACTTCTTTCGCACCGTACGTAGCCAACCGTGCTATTGTCAGATGTAGGTCATTCTCCAGTGTAGCATGTGGCTCTGCTGCCATAAAGAGTCTAGAAATGGGAACAAGTTTTTGCTCTCGGCATAGTTCCTGATGGCACAATTAACATACAAGTGGCAGAAAATGCAAACTGCTAAATTAAGATGTAAAACAAGCTCTAAAAATGTCCACATGTTGAATTGATGCATTTTAACAGGGAACTGTAAAAAGAGATGAAGCCACAGGAAATGGGCTTGGTCCATACTCGCTTCCTGCTTGAGCCAGGGACAACTGGAACCCCGTTCCACACTTGACCCACCCTTGCCTCTTGGCGCTTGCAAATGAGTTGAAATCAAGATTTGTGCATCGATGTTCTTATCATTTATTGTGAGAAAAAAATGATGTCAAAATCTCCTTCATGAATGGAAAATTTAAAACAAAAGCCACAGGGCGATTGTGGCCATGAAAGCCAAACTATGTACCATATAAAGTAAATCACTGTAGGGGTAGCAAAACTACACAAACTCTCTTCACAAGCTGTCTTGTGGTAAGCAAACCTCGACATTTATCTCGTGAACATATTACTGCCATTTGCAAGAGTATAATTGAGCGAAGGAACATCTTTGTGGGCATGTGGCAAACAATGTACCTGGTGATGCTGTCGTAAAAAAAATGGCTTATAATGTGAGTGGCTTCCACAAAACAACCCCTGAAATATATGCGTTGCGACAAAATCAGAACGAGGGTGTGCAAATTCAATTGTTTCATCCGTGTTGCAATAGCCCTTCCACTTCCCACAACACCCGAACGCTGGCAGCTTTGCTGGGAACTTACAGTACTAATGAGCCAACATGAAAAATCCCGCGGCAAACTCTGAGCCATTTCCACTCATAATTAATCTCTAACAGCCAGCTGCCTACTTTGTTGCGTATATTAAGTGGAAATGACAGATTGAAAACCCATGCAGCTTTGGTTTTAGATGCATTGTTGCTTATGTATATTTATAGTAAATTTCATAAAAAACAAGATATATAATAAATAAATAAACAATGTAAGGACATTCGAAATGTATTAACGATGAAGGTCATTGGCGAATATCTGAAACAGTTTTACCCCATTCCCTTTAACCACCCGCACAGAAGACCAGTGTGGTTGCAATATGCTCACACAACTGATATGTAATGGAAAGGCCTTCAATCTAATCCAGCAGTGGATTTACAAAGGGGGTAATCCTTATCCCCACACCATTCCCACACGAAATTAAACATCCCCGGTTGCTTCGCTACTGCAGCCAAATCAGATAAAGAATGGCAGGGAAAGGATGCTTCAGCTATTTAATTTGAAGTGATTATTCTCTGCAATAGCTAAACCAAGTATTGTACCCCATGGGGCTGTGAAATTGGATGAATAGAAATCCAATGTTCTTATTAAGACTCAACGACGACTTCTGATCATGTGATTGTTAAAGGGTTGTCATGAATTCCAGTTGATAGCCTTGAATGGAAAACTACTTTTGCTTGATGTACACTTTTAATCATGATCCTTATCCCTAATGAACATATGGTTCTGAACCATTGGCCTACGTACCCTGTAAAAATGATTACCATTTTGCTGCTAATCCTACTTTATGAATAACTACAAATATAATGTTATTTTTGTTGCATGTACTTGTTAATGATAAACTCACTCGTATGCTGCGTATTAAGACAATAATGACGTAGTATGAGATTATTATTTTACATTGTTTGGCTGCTTAAAATTTGCACATGATAAGCCACTTAATTGAGCTATCATGTGTGACCAGGTCGCTTCTGAAAAATAACCAATAGCTCAGTGGGCTTAACCTGCTAAATTAAAATAGTTTAATGGTTCAGGTTAATTTCTGCCTCCCGCACCACTCCATACACCCCATCTATCATGCCAGGCTCATGTCAGCCGTGTCATTATTCCACATTGCAATGTGTATACATGACTTTAGACTTCTGATTCATCATTCATTTGATATCGAGGTGGCAACTAGTGGTTAGATGTTAAAGGTACTGGTTTATTTATTTAGTTTTAGTGCTTTTCTTACCTTTCCAACACTTTGCACTCGTTTTTGTATTTTTTATTTTTGTAACTTTCTGACCCACCCCTATTTGGACATCTGTGAAAAGGAGCTTCATAGCTCATCGGATTTCCCCAGGATAAATAAAGATTATGATAGTTGTATAAATTAACACATTGCTGTATCTTAGTAACAAAGCAGACAATATGTATCCGTCACATATTTGTATCTCCGTATAAAATACTAAAGTTGTTTTTTTCACACAACCCAGCAGCCACATGGCCTTCTGGGATTGCATAATTTCAGTGGCATTGATTGAATACAAGCTATATGTCTGGACTAGTTGCGACATACAGTGTCTCATCAGCAAAGTTAAGCTTCCGTGAAGGTCAAGATGTTATAGGAAAGGACCCTTTCTATAAAATACAGGTCCGAGCTTGATGCAAACTTCTAAAATACATCACACTAAATGATTATAATTTGCTAATGGAGAATTGACGTTGCTTACACTCTCCAGCAACGTGTTGTGTCTTACTTATGTGGTGTTTCTACTATGCTGTACTAAATTTAGCTCCAGCCAATGTCATTTTAAAAAAATATGGCTACTATGTTCTTCCATTACTGAATGTCCGGCAGCTTCAATAATTATGAATGTGCAGATTGTAACGTGCACAATAATGCATTCATCTGTCTAAGCCGTCCTGAGCTGTTGGTCCCATTGGGTGTAAGTTCACAGTTGCTGGAATGTATACTGTATGTTCATTTTTTTCTTAAAATATTTAGTTTAGAAAGGCACAGTCTCATAATTCATGGTTAGATGCACAAGTGTGTCTTTTCATGCTGATCACTTTGTTTCCACAAGCAATGCACATTTAAGCTTGCACCTCTTTAGAGAGATTTAGGGTACACTTCATCCTGCATGCACATACAAATTAATCATGCACCTTCTGTATATTGGACCACTGAGAATATGTACCATATATCTTGGCTAAGTATTTAATGACATTATGATCGAATCAAGATTGGGATCATTTTATTCTCGTTCAGGTATTTTATACACGAGAGAATATGGTAATCATTTTCTGTGAACACACAGTGGCATGTCAATCACAGACAGTGGCATGTCAATCACAGACATTGACAGGAAGCATTTTCAAACTGCTGTGGATTCCTCTTATCCCAATCTTTAAAATCCAAGAAGCATAATCGCCCTTGAAAGAGACCTCCTTATATAGTAATGCAAACATGTACCATTGACACAGTTCATGTCTCATCCTGTTTACATGGCATAGTTTTTTTTTATCTGTGGTCTCTTGATAAACACATGCCACCCCAATAAGCTGTGATTTAAGTAAGGAATTTTATCAGTTAACGTACAAAAATTCTGGCATTATGCCATCATAAAATCGTGATGTTTATGGAAATATACAGTAGCCATTTATAATAGCGACATGCGTACTGTTCAACAATGTTCAACGTAACAGTTGAGCTCAAGAGTCACCTCATCCTGTAATCCCGCCGGGGTGGATGAGACAAGTGCGAGCTTTGTTGGAATTCTACAAAGGGGTCATCCGATGGGGGAGACTCACCTACACCGTGGACATGAGGATTCACTTACACCGTGGACATGAGGACTCATCTACACCGTGGACATGAGGACTCACCTATACCGTGGACATGAGGACTCACCTACACCATGAGGACTCACCTACACCGTGGACATGAGGACTCACCTACACCATGGACATGAGGACTCACCTACACCATGAGGACTCACCTACACCGTGGTAATGAGGACTCACCTACACCATGAGGACTCACCTACACCGTGGACATGAGGACTCACCTACACCATAGACATGAGGACTCACCTACACCGTGGTAATGAGGACTCACCTACACCGTGGACATGAGGACTCACCTACACCATGGACATGAGGACTCACCTACACCATGAGGACTCACCTACACCGTGGACATGAGGACTCACCTACACCATGAGGACTCACCTACACCATGAGGCCTCACCTACACCGTGGTAATGAGGACTCACCTACACCATGAGGACTCACCTACACCATGAGGACTCACCTACACCGTGGACATGAGGACTCACCTACACCATGGACATGAGGACTCACCTACACCATGAGGACTCACCTACACCATGGTAATGAGGACTCACCTACACCGTGGTAATGAGGACTCACCTACACCATGGACATGAGGACTCACCTACACCGTGGACATGAGGACTCACCTACACCATGAGGACTCACCTACACCATGAGGACTCACCTACACCATGAGGACTCACCTACACCGTGGTAATGAGGACTCACCTACACCAGGAGGACTCACCTACACCATGAGGACTCACCTACACCATGAGGACTCACCTACACCATGGACATGAGGACTCACCTACACCATGGTAATGAGGACTCACCTACACCGTGGTAATGAGGACTCACCTACACTGTGGTAATGAGGACTCACCTACACCATGGACATGAGGACTCACCTACACCATGAGGACTCACCTACACCATGAGGACTCACCTACACCATGAGGACTCACCTAAACCATGAGGACTCACCTACACCGTGGACATGAGGACTCACCTACACCATGAGGACTCGCCTACACCATGAGGACTCACCTACACCGTGGTAATGAGGACTCACCTACACCGTGAGGACTCACCTACACCATGAGGACTCACCTACACCGTGGACATGAGGACTCACCTACACCATGAGGACTCGCCTACACCATGAGGACTCACCTACACCGTGGTAATGAGGACTCACCTACACCGTGAGGACTCACCTACACCATGAGGACTCACCTACACCGTGGACATGAGGACTCACCTACACCATGGTAATGAGGACTCACCTACACCGTGGTAATGAGGACTCACCTACACCATGGACATGAGGACTCACCTACACCGTGGACATGAGGACTCACCTACACCATGAGGACTCACCTACACCATGAGGACTCACCTACACCATGAGGACTCACCTACACCGTGGTAATGAGGACTCACCTACACCAGGAGGACTCACCTACACCATGAGGACTCACCTACACCATGAGGACTCACCTACACCATGGACATGAGGACTCACCTACACCATGGTAATGAGGACTCACCTACACCGTGGTAATGAGGACTCACCTACACTGTGGTAATGAGGACTCACCTACACCGTGGACATGAGGACTCACCTACACCATGAGGACTCGCCTACACCATGAGGACTCACCTACACCGTGGTAATGAGGACTCACCTACACCGTGAGGACTCACCTACACCATGAGGACTCACCTACACCGTGGACATGAGGACTCACCTACACCATGAGGACTCGCCTACACCATGAGGACTCACCTACACCGTGGTAATGAGGACTCACCTACACCGTGAGGACTCACCTACACCATGAGGACTCACCTACACCGTGGACATGAGGACTCACCTACACCGTGGTAATGAGGACTCACCTACACCATGAGGACTCACCTACACCATGAGGACTCACCTACACCGTGGACATGAGGACTCACCTACACTGTGGTAATGAGGACTCACCTACACCATGAGGACTCACCTACACCATGAGGACTCACCTACACCATGAGTACTCACCTACACCGTGGTAATGAGGACTCACCTACACCGTGGACATGAGGACTCACCTACACCATGAGGACTCACCTACACCATGAAGACTCACCTACACCGTGGTAATGAGGACTCACCTACACCGTGAGGACTCACCTACACCATGAGGACTCACCTACACCATGAGGACTCACCTACACCGTGGACATGAGGACTCACCTACACCATGAGGACTCGCCTACACCATGAGGACTCACCTACACCGTGGTAATGAGGACTCACCTACACCGTGAGGACTTACCTACACCATGAGGACTCACCTACACCATGAGGACTCACCTACACCGTGGACATGAGGACTCACCTACACCGTGGACATGAGGACTCACCTACACCATGGACATGAGGACTCACCTACACCATGAGGACTCACCTACACTATGAGGACTCACCTACACCGTGGACATGAGGACTCGCCTACACCGTGGATATGAGGACTCACCTACACTGTGGTAATGAGGACTCACCTACACCATGAGGACTCACCTACACCATGAGGACTCACCTACACCATGAGTACTCACCTACACCGTGGTAATGAGGACTCACCTACACCGTGGACATGAGGACTCACCTACACCATGAGGACTCACCTACACCATGAAGACTCACCTACACCGTGGTAATGAGGACTCACCTACACCGTGAGGACTCACCTACACCATGAGGACTCACCTACACCGTGGACATGAGGACTCACCTACACCGTGGTAATGAGGACTCACCTACACCGTGGTAATGAGGACTCACCTACACCATGAGGACTCACCTACACCATGAGGACTCACCTACACCATGAGGACTCACCTACACCGTGGTAATGAGGACTCACCTACACCATGACGACTCACCTACACCATGAGTACTCACCTACACCGTGGTAATGAGGACTCACCTACACCAGGATTCTTCACCGCTGGGGTCACGGCTGTGCATTGAGATGTCAACGACTGCTTCGTCGTCCTCGATTATGATTACGCTGCCCTTTTATTAATATTATAAACCTTGCCAAAAAAAACATTCTATTGAAAAACACTTGAAACAATAAATTATGGTCAATACTGTAATAGCATATCTGAAAAGTTAAATTAATCTGTCATTAAATACTTCATTAAACAAATATTGTGTAAGATTGTATTGCTCATTTGGTTGTTTCTGGTATATATCCTAATATGCAGTTGTCTTGCAATGTGTGACACAACAATGCTCATACTCAAGCTTACTTCCTTAACGGACTTGAGCAGTTGTCCTGGACACACGTGGAAATCAACGTCAGCCCAAAGGCATGCTGTGATAAATGTGGGTATAAAATAGGAAAACATTCACGTGGCGTGCCATGAGTGTTGCATCACAAGTGTCCTGTCTTTTTTGTTCTTCCTCAAAGCAAGAGCTGAACCGGGCACTGATACAATCGACTCCCCAGCACCATTTGATAAGACCGCTAACAATGCATGTATGTATGTATGCATGCCCAGCCTTGATAAGTATGCATCTCTATTTTCTCCTGCATGCAAATCTACGCGTGAGAGTTTTTTAAGTTCATAAATTTCATAAAGCTCTCCTTTTATTTTACCAGGTAATGTGCACTGAGCTAGATAGCTCTTTTTCAGAATCGACCTGGCCACAAATGATAGCCTAATGAAGTGGCTTATCACGTGCAAATGTATAGTAGCTAAATACTCTAAACACGTTTCTAAATCTGGAGGGAAAAACCGGAGGACCCGGAGTAAAATCCACACAACCACGGGGAGAACACGTAGACTCCAAATATACAGCAGCAGCAGCAGGCGTCAGGATTGTAATTGAACCCACGACACCTCCTGTACACCAGGCGAGCTAGTTAACATCTCGCCACCGTGGCACCCTTTACATGGCAGTGCATGTCACAAGGCGTGATTCTCTAATGTGTGCTGGTCGGCTGGTATTTAGAATTTCGCCATCTAATTTTTTTTGCATGCCATCTATAAATTGATCATCAACATGAATTAATGTTATTATAATGATGGTTCATTATTTTTATCGGATATATTTTGTGATAAATTATCTGCAAGTTGGTTTTCCGAATGAATTGTGTGAAATGTATAATTTTATTTTCTAAGTACAGTAATGACCTATTTAGTGGCAATTCTGAATATAGCTAGAAGATCCTAGCTATATTAACTTTGGATAATAAACGTAATGAATCTGTTCAATGGAACTTCAGACGACCATAATTATTTACAATGAGGAAGTAAAACTAACAAAGTCAGCAATCCCTCATCATCTCTCAAAGAGGTGGCTATGCTGTTTCTGCAATGATGAAAGCCAATTGCTGGAAACGTCACCAGTGATAAAAAAAATTATCTCTTTTAAGGCCATTGACAAATTTGCGAGTTTTGTTCTTGTCAATTGTGTTTGCGGTCCACTGCCAAATCAGCATCAGCACCCTCAACAACTAATTTGTTTCACCATTCAGAAAATGTTGACACAGCGGCAAGCAGGGTTCAACTCCATTACTGCATCGCTCGGTGGTTGAAGTGCCTTTCGACAAGCGTTTATCTGCACAGCAGCTGGAGGAGGAGTATCTCCGTGCTGTCGCGGTCACCACTGTGAAATGCATGCACAATTATGTTTCTCTTCTGACAGTTAACGCGTGATCTTGGTTTGGTGAAGAAAGTCGCTCCATGATATGAATTGTTTTTTAAGAAGGTTAAAATTTACCCCCTCCTCCCCCTTCCCTACCCCCAACCCACCTTGGTTATAAAAGTAACCGGAAGCACTTTAAATAGCCCATATTTGGAGAGGAATAAATACCCAGAGGGTGCAACTCCTCGATATGCAAACCCAGCATGTACGATTTTATGCCCTCTGTCATGATCGCGGCTGTGGGTTCAATTAAAAAAATAAAACAATTTATCGCGTAAAAATATTTACACGTGCACATTTGTGTTGAACATTTTCTACATTCGCATTTTCTGACGCACGGTGCACTTGCAACAATACACGCACGGATCTTACGTGTCCTTAATTGTTGGAATTTAACAGTGTCGGTCAGATACATTTAAAAAAAAATAAACTCGCACTGCCCATGTATTCGTGGTCCGCCAGGAAGTATCTAACTGTGTTGTTGGCCTGACTGGATGTGCTTCACATAATGTTTTTTCAGGTTTGTTGAATTCTCGTCTCTCATCTTTTTGTTGTATTTACCTCCGTGATTTGTTCTTAACACCTGATGAAGATCGCTTGCGTTGTGATCGAAACGTCGTGATTGTTTTTTGTTTTAACATAGTTTTATTGTATTTCTACATACGTGACTTTACCGAAAAAAACAATGAGTAAGTGCAATGTCCTTTATTTCTGCTCCCAGTTTTGTTTTAAATAGCAACTGATGTTGGCATTGGGAAATCAGGCTCGTTGGGTTGTGTAATTAAAACTTTCACGTCATAAAACATGGGTTTAGCTCAAATCAATAAATGTAATATGGTTATCCACATGAGCTTAGTTTATGATAGAAATATTTTTCAAATTCTAAAATGCTACTACTATTATGTTCAATTAACCCAAAACAATTATTGCTTACACAACAAATATCAATGTTCATGTACGTCGATATGTTATTTGAGCACTGTGCCTGTATAGCCCTTTTGTCATCCCAGTGCACTGTGCAGACCATAGTGGTTTTTGTTGTTGCATATTGCACCATGCTTGATCATTGTGGGTTATATTTTGATTTAAAGCTTTCGTGACTGCAGTAATTCATATTCTTAGCTCTTTCGGTAAAGTCACGTTGAAAGGAAAACAATAAAATAATAAAATATATTAATATATTTTATTGTTTCCTTTCAACGTGACTTTACTGAAAGAGCTAAGAATATACATTGTGTGTTAGTCAATGGGAAGTATAGATTTATCATAGTCCAGTACAACTTGATTTTCCCATTGCTGATAATATGGCTCTGGGGCATCCTGCAGCAACTTTTTTTTTAATGCATGTTGATCACCTATCTAAGCATTGTCCAGGCTCAACCCTGATTAGTTTCAGACATGTGATGAAATAGGTTACATTCTGGGTGCTTTGGTCTTAGAAATTTGAACATGAAATGCTCAAATATATCCAGCACACAGCGACATACCAAGATAGCTCCACTCACTAACAAATATGGCTAAATGGCAATAAAACAACAGCTATGTGACAATGGTCATCTTATGGATAGACTAGCTCCTACCATGGGATTGTGGAATTTGCATCACTGCTTCAGGCACTGCAAGCAGAGAGGAGCATCATCCCACACTCATTTGAGAAGGGAAACATTTTTACATAAAATATTTTTTTACAAAAAAATGACAATCGCATCAGCTGCGTGTTGTGGATACGTCACGACGTAATGTGGGTTAATGTAAACTCATTGGACAATTCTGTAACAATGTTGTGTTTTGAAATACAGTGAATAACATATGGTCAAATCATGTATATATTTTTAATGATCTGTTTTTTTAGACAATAGATGCCTCCAAACACAGTGCAGGAGCTGATATGCAATTTAATTTGATATTTGCACAACAAAATGGTACGTCACAGAGATCTGTTTATAAACAGAAGCCTGGGGCGTAATTTTCAAAATTAGTTCCAGCCTTCACTTTATTTGTATTCATGTGACTCCTCATTTGCGTAATCATGCACGACACATACATCCACCCAGGCTTTGGTGTAATGCGGCAGCAAGTCATGAGCTAATGTGTTACGTGTGTAGTGAACGACTTCCGACACGCGTCTAGTAGAAGGCTTCTTATTTATTAAGAGCACACAGGGCGATGCACTTCGTAACGCGGCTACACCTAGAACGTCCAAACACGCAGCCCACCTCCGTCCTGCGTAGCTACGCTGGATGGTTGACGAGCGTAGCGGCGGCGACGGAGCTGCTCTTGCAGAAGAACAGCCACGTGGTCAAAGACGAAGAGATGACGACGGCAGTGACGCAACCAGGACCCAGACCCCACACTTAACAGCCCCGAAGCTCTGGTTCGGTGCTCCTTGTATCTGCCTGGCGCGGCCACGCCCCCTTTCCAGAACCTTCGGGTTGGTTCCCAGAGCTTCTCGACTGACTCCGCCCTTGACCTTTACCCCCGATACACCCCTTCATACTAAGGCATTATGTAATGCAGTTTTTTACAGTAATTACCCCTTCAGGCCCGCAGGTGTCACTCTGTCATTACGCGTGTATGGCCCAACCCTTAGTCTTGGCTCAAACCATAGCCATGGAACTTGCCATGTGAATTGCACAGCAATTTTGTGCCCAATATCACCAGATGCCACTCTTATATGAAGCATAATTTTCAATTTTATTTAATTCGTTCAAACAAATGCATCCGGTGATTTTCTTCTCGCACGACAGCACTATGGTCTGGGAATGGCTTTATAGAATCGAATTGTGAAATTGTAAATAACTTCAACCTCTACGGTAATTTCGTGGTTGTTATATTTGCATTTCCGAACTGTGTTAAGCGAAGAACAATGTAAATATTTATTGGAAATGTATTTCCTGACTTAAAGCTTTCGTGCCTGCAGGAATTCATATTCTTTGGGTCTTTTGGTAAAGTCACGTAGATAGGTTCCCCTCTCTCTCTCTCTTCTTCCTGATGACGAACGCTTGTGTTGCGATCGAAACGTCGTTTTTGTTACATTTTGTTATTTTCTTTGAACCTATCTACGTGGCTTTACCGAAAGACC